GCGCCGGCGGCGAAGGGGCACAGCCCAAAAACGGCCCCGGTGACACGGAGGGACCTGATCCGTGGGCATCGCTGCCCCTCCGGGGTGGCCAGCCTGGGTGCTGCCGGCTGTGGGGAGGGATGCTCCAGGATGCAGGATTTGGCCCTGCCTGGAGCAGGGGGCCGGGGTGTCCACCCCATCGGCTGGGATGTCCCCATGGAGGTGACACCTGCCGTGGGGTCCCCATGGGGCAGGACGCTCGGGGAGAGGAGCAGCTGCCGGAGCAGGGCTGGGGTGCAATGAGGCCACCACAGGGAGGGACAGAACCCAGGGCCACCTCGGGTGTGGCTGAGGACAGGGAGCGTGCTGCTCCCAGCCCTCCTCCAGCAGCACATTCCTCTGTGATTGCTCCCCATTTGGGAGTGGATTTGGGGTGCACGGTTCCCCCAGTTCAGCCTCATAGCAATGGGCAGCCTGCACTGCAGGGAGCCCCTCGCCCTCCCCGACAGCCCCCCCGGGGGGGATGTGCTGTGGTACCCCGGGCTCCCAGGGCCAAGGGCACCCACAGGATGTAGGCACCTGGGACCGAGGAAATAGTGCAAATCAGGGGCTGAGCCCCCAGCGGATCCTCCTCCCCACCCGGAGGGGCTGCAGCAATCCCCAGACTCCCACCCAGCACCAAACCTCAGTGCCACGGCTCCAGCCTCACACCGGGGTGTCCTCACACCTGGGAGCACAGGGAGCTGTCCATGCCCCCTCCCTGGGCAGAGGCAGAGTTCAGCAGTGTCAAATCCCAGCCCCAGGTCGCCCCAAGTCAAGGACAACGGCCACGAGGACGCCCGTCACAGTCACAGCATGTGTGCGAATGCCGGAGCAGAGCGGGTGCCAATCTCCCACCCCGCCGGCTGCCCCAGCACCCCGGGGACCCCCAGCACCCCAGGGACCCCTCAGCACCACTCCAAAACACCCCAGCATCCAGCAGGACGAACCTTGGCGTCACTGTGCCGGGGCAGCTCTGGGTGTCTTTGTGCCATCACGGGACACGAGCGCCCACCACGCGTGGGGAAACTGAGGCAGGGGTGTGCAGTGGGGAATGTGGGTGCTCTGGCTCCCCCAGAAAGCAGCTGAATTTTAGTGTCAGTCTGATGCAGCTCCGATGTAAAGCCACCACTTACTGGGTCTGGAGGAGGAGGAGAAGGAAGGCAGAGCCACCACTGTTGATGCTGAGGGGCTGCGCTGGGGGTGAGCAGGGAGCACTGGGCTGAGGGGCAGCAGCCCCATCCCAGGCACGAGGCCATCCCATCCCTCTCCACTGCTGCTCCAGCTCTCCTTCTCCCCTTCCCCTGCCTCATTAATTAAACCCAAATGCTTAATTACAATCTGCTGAACCCATGACTGCTTCCTGGAGCCCGCTAACACCATGGGGCCAATCCTGACTCCCCCACATCCCTGTAGGAAAGGTGGGAGACAAGGAACGGGGGGAGCATCCCAATGCCTGCAGGATTTGGGTTGTGGCTCATTGGTGGCATAAAAGGATTTTCATGCAACACACTGAAAAGAGCAAACCTAAGCGGTGGAGCTGGGAAAGTCATCCCTGGGGGTCTTGGCCTCTCCAAGGAGAGATGGGGACAGATGGCTCAGCCCTGGGGTTGTCCCCGGGCTGCTGGCAGGTCCCCCAAGGAGTGAAGAGGGACAGGGATACTCAGCTCAGTGCCTGGTGAGCTGCCAGTGGCAATAAAAAAATAACCGAGGTCAATAAGGCTGGTGGCAGCATGAGGTGGGTGGTGGGATCCAGGGTCCCACTGTGCCTCCCCACCTGGTCACCCACCAGTGGGGCCCCAGGGCAGTGGGGTGCCCTGACCCTCTCGCCCTCCTGCCTGCAGGTCCCCGCCAGCCCATGCAGTGACTCAGGGGGTGGCACAGCCCCTGCTCCTGCCGTAGCCACCGCTGCCACTCCGGGCACTGAGGTAAAGACCCGAGATCACGGCTGTGGGGTGGGTGGGATGCACCAGCGCAGGCACTAGACCCCCACACCAAGTCTATGGGGCACAATTCCCAGCTGGGATCTTCCCCTGTCCATGGGGAGTGCCCAGCCCCATCAGCAAAGGCATGACCCCATGGGGGTCACCTGGGGCAGCCCCCCAACCCTCAGGAGAGCACGGGGTGCCAGGGTGGGGGAACCGGGGTGCCTCGGTGGTGGCTGCATGGCCAGGGGTGCCCCAGGGAGCACAGCACTCTCAGACCCGCATCCCACTTTCCTTGGGAATTGGCAGAAGTGCCGGGAGAGCCGAGCTGCCACATTCTGGTGGATGCTCACACCCCTGTGCCCGGCCAGGAGGGAGAGTGATGGGGGCCACGGGGTGCGGATCCCGGCGGGATGGGCACAGGCAGGTGCCGTGGAAGTGGCACCGTGGGGGCTCAGGGGTGCCGGTGCTGTTCCACTCTGTTCTGTTTCTCTCGCTCAGGTCTGCTGGCCATGGGCAACCTCATAAAGGTATTGGGCAAAGATTTAGAAAACTGTCCTCATTTTTTCCTGGATTTTGAAAGTAAGTCCCATGAGCAGGGTGGGCG